CTCCTACTTCTCTACATCCTCATCTTGTCGTTCCTAAACGATATCGACAACTGTCGGGAGAGCTGCAGATTGTTGTCACCAACAGACAAGAAAAAAAACTCAAAACAGACGGCGATCTCTCTGTCCCTGTCCCTGTCCCTGTCCCTGTCCCTGTCCCTGTCCCTGTCCCTGTCCCTGTCCCTGTCCCTGTCCCTGTCCCTGTCCCTGTCCCTGTCCCTGTCCCTGTCCCTGTCCCTGTCCCTGTCCCTGTCCCTGTCCCTGTCCCTGTCCCTGTCCCTGTCCCTGTCCCTGTCCCTGTCCCTGTCCCTGTCCCTGTCCCTGTCCCTGTCCCTGTCCCTGTCCCTGTCTCTACTTCGGTCTCTGCTGCGGTCCCTGCGCGGGACTTCAGGGGTGAGAAAGAGAGGAAAGAGGAACAGATCCAAGAAACTTAGCAACAGCAGAGGAGGAGAAGCAGGAGGAGAAGCAGGAGGAGAGGGAAAGGAAGAGGAGGAGGAGGAGGAGGAGGGGAAGCAGGAGGAGGTGGGGGAGGAGGGGAAGCAGAGGAGAGGAAGAGGGAGAGGAGGCAGGTGAGTAGTAGCAGGACCTGCGTCTATCCCTGCGATCTCTCGATCGGCTGCGATTTCTGCAAGAAAATGAGAGAAAGGAGGATAGAAAAGTAGACGGGGAGAGAAGAATGGAAGGAGGAGGGCGAGGAGGAGGTGGAGATGGAAGAGGTTCTGTTATAGTGGTAGAGGAGGAAGAGGACGAAGGGGAACAGGAGGAGGAGGAGGAGAAGTCAAACGAGGACGGGAAAGTGGAGGAGTTGTAGTGCTGGTGGTACAGGAGGAACAAAGGAGAAGCAGCAGCACCTTTCGCTCCGTCCTCGATTCTCTCTGTCTCTGTCATGACCCTCAGATTGCAAAAGGACGGCTTCTTCTCACCTCTGCCTCTCCCTCGACCTGAGCGAGAAGTTAGAATGGTAGCGAGGCGAACAGAGGAGGAGGAGAAGCAGCAGGAGCAGGAGCAGGAGCAGGAGCAGGAGCAGAAGGGTCAGCCATCTCTACCGGTTCCTCGCCCTCGCTGGTTCTCCATCAGGTCGCTCCTGTCGCTACAGCTGATCTCAAACGAGCAGCTCGAGGAGGTTCAGGTTTTCTCACCTGCTGCTCCTCGGGCTTTGAGTTGCTTCCCCTCACCAGCTTCTATAGACGCAGCTAATCGTCATCCTTTCTCCTTTCTCCCTCCCTCCATTCCCCCCCCCCCGCTCCGTCCCTCCGTCCCTCCTCTATCTCCCCGGCCGCATTTATTGTTGTCACCTGCAGTTCCGGTATCGCCTCGCGAATCAAAAAGTATCCTTTGTGCTGCAGAAGTGGTCAAATACATGTCCTGTTGTCTCCCCTGCCCTCCCCTCCTCTTTCTCCCCTCCCCTCCCCTTTCTCCTCTCCCCTCCTCTTCGTTCTCTCCCCTCCTCTTCGTTCTCTCCCCTCCTCTTCGTTCTCTCCCCTCTCTTCTTCTGCTCTCACCTGCTTGCCGTCCAGGTGATTTTGTTTTCTCTGGTCGTTGTCGACAGATTGAGAGATGCAGCCGCAGACCTCGCAGATGCTGAAGGAGGAGGAGGAGGACAGTCAGAGGAACCAAGAGAGGAACGAGCGGTGAGGAAGGTGCGGGGGAGCAGGAGGAGAAATTGAGAGGAGGAGAGGAGGGGAGGAGAAGAGGAGGAAGTAGAAGAGAAGGGAGATTTGATTAGGATGATCACATCTGAGATTTTTCTTTGATCCAGAAAGGATCATTCTCAGGACCCTGCGAAAACATTCAATTCCCCCACCACCACTACCACCACCACCACTACCTCCTCCTCCTCCTCCTCCTCCTCCTCCTCCTCCTCTTCACTTCCTCTCTCTCCGCACCTGCTCGAGCTTGTTCTTCTCTTCCAGCAGCTCTTGGACTCGCTTGTTCTTCTCCTCTGCCTTCTCAACTTCTCCCTCGTTGCCCAGGATCTCAATCTCGTCATGAAGGCCCTTCACCTCCTGCCTGGAGGTCACCTCGACAGGAGCGAAGGAAGCAGGTGAAAATAAGCGGAGGGGGGGGAGAGGAGCGGTGAAGGGAGGACAGGGGAGGAGAGGAAGGAGAAGACCTTCATAATCTCCTCAATCCTTGCTTTCGAAGCCGCATCAAGATCCGGTCGATCAGCTTTGACCCTGTCTCTGCTCACGGGAGTGAATCTCGACTACTCGTCTCCCTTTCATCCCTTCTCCCAGCTTCTCGCACCTCCATCAGCTGCAGTTCCTTCTCCTTCTCTCATCCTCCTTGTACGACTAGGAGGATAGTCATGACTATCATGACTATCCTCCCACAATTCTCACACGTCAAACTGACACACACTTCCTGCTTCCACCACCACCGACACCATCACAGTGCCTCCTTCTCCTCCTCCTCCTCCTCCTCCTGCCCACCTAAATCTTCGGATGGCTCGGTCGACGCCGCCGATCAGCTGCTCGAGCTCTACCAGAAGTTCGCGCGCATATGTGGCCTTGAGATTCTCGTCGCCTGCTGCTTCGAACTGCTCCTTGAGCCTGCTGAGACTTAGTAGACGACCGAGGAGAAAAATCAGAGAGATGAAGACGAAGGTGATGATCAGGAGGAGGACGAGAAGCCGGATTGGTGGCAGCAGCCGCAGCAGCAGCAGCAGGGACTACCTTTCGTCATGCTTCTTCAAGCAGGGGCCGAGGTCTGACTTGGTGTTGTGAAACAAGTCATGAGGACAGAAGCGAACGAGAAACTTCTTGCAGACGCTCTCTTCTTGCCACCTGCTCCATTGTTACTGTCCTCCCGCTCCTGCTCCACTTCATCTCTCTGTCTCCTCCCCCATGGCCCTGCACTGTCTCCTTGGAAGATGCTACCACTCTCCTCCCCTCCTCGTCGTCATAAACTGAGCCCGTCCGTCCCTTCCCCCCCCCCCCCCCCATTCCAACATCCTACTTTCAATCATTTCAAACACGATCATCATCATCATCTCTACGTGTATATGTTGCATCCTCCTCTTCCTCCTCCTCTTCCTCCAAGGCATCAGCGTCATCACGTGAGCCATCCGTCCTCGGGCTGCCCGCTAACGGCTCATTCGAATCACCTCGGAGGTCCCGTGTTGTTCTGATCCGCAAACTCTCCCATGAGCGCGTCCATCTGCCAGCAGTCACTTCCTCCATCGCCTGCACCTGCACCTGCTCAACCCATCCTCTCCCTACCTCCCTGACCCTCCGTCGTTTCATTGTCACTCTCACTCCCTCTTCTCTTCCTTTTCCTCCCTCCCTCGTCTCCTCTCAACTCCACCTCTCGAGAGGATTTACCTGCGCCTTCAACGCTGCTCGAGCTGCAGCCATCTTCACCTCGTGTCGCCGTCCTTTAAAATCTCCATCAGGCCGCGCCTCCTCAGCTCTTTCCCTGGAATCCTCCACACTCCGCCACCTGCTTTCACCGCTTTTCCTCCTACGCTTCTCTCTCTATCATAATCCTCTTCGTTCTTTGCTCCCCACACACACTGAGTCTATCTGGCTATCCCTCAATCCCTCCATCCATCGCCACTTCCATCTCTCTCTCTCTCTCTCTCTCTCTCTCTCTCTCTCTCTCTCTCTCTCTCTCTCTCTCTCTCTCTCTCTCTCTCTCTCTCTCTCTCTCTCTCTCCCTCCCTCCCTCCCTCCCTCCCTCTTCTCTCTCTTCGCTGCTCTGCCATGAGCTGCGGCAGTGACGGGCAGTAGCGTGAGGCAGAGCATGAGCGGGATCCAGGAGCAGGAGTGCACAGATGAGTGCAGGGATGAGTGGGGACAGAGTGGGGATGAGGGGTACGAGAATATGAGGGGGATGAGTTGCAAGATCTTTATGAGATGCGAACACGAGATCGGAATGGAGAGAACAGAGAAGAGAAGAGGGAGGGAGGGAGGGAGAGCGAAGGAGGGAGGGAGAGAAGGAGAGAGAGAGGTGGGGAGGAGGGAGGGAGGGAGAGAGGGAGAGAGGGAGAGCGAAGGAGGGAGGGAGAGAAGGAGAGGCGGGGGGGAAGAGGCAGGGAGAGGCAGGGAGGAAGAGAAGGAGGAAGAAAAGGAGAAAACGGAGGGGGGGGGGCGAGGCGGGGAGGGAAAGGAAGGGAGGGAGAGGCAGGGAGGGAGGTGAGATGCTGTCTGACTGTTGTCGCAGAGGAGCATCGGAATATGGCTTCATCTCTCGCTAAGCAGATTCGATCGGCGACCGATCACGAGGACATTGATCTCGCTGGTTTCGGGCAGGTCGGTCCTTGTCGTGTGCCCGCATGCAACTGACGGAGACATTCAGTCGCAGATCTCCGAGCTCTTCACCGCAGCCTTCTCTGAGGCGATCCCGGCACCTAAGATGATCGGCTTTCGCTTTACCGTAGGAGGCGGCAAGAAGGAACTTTGAGCCCTGAGCACAAGTGCGAGCTCTGACATGCGAGTGCTGTACAGGTCCGTCAGAAGTATGGCGATGACATGCCCAAGTTCTGCCGCGATGCGTTGAGAGCCATCGGCTTCGAAGAGGACCGTGGGGCGAGTGCGGTGAGAGGGTTGAGGGAGACGGGGACAAGGTGGTCACTCCTGTAGACAGATCATGGAGTGTGCGGGCAGCTTCAAGTATCAGCACGACACAGACAAGGACTTGAAGTTCATTCACGTGTTTCCCAAGATCGACATCTCGGCTTCTGCCGCCCCTGCGGAGGCGGAGGAGGAGGCGGACATCAAGATCGGGGGCATGAAGGTACCTCCTCCCTTGCTGCTTGTGAGGACCTCACGGTGCCCAACTAGCTGGAGGAGCTTCCGCCAGAGCATCTCTGCAGGTGACGAGCTGGGAAGGGTGATACAGCTCTGAGAGGGAGCAGCATCGTGTCCATGGAGACCTTCGTGAAGCTGGTGGCCAAGCAGTGTCCTTCCTTCTCGCAGCGTCGCGCGCTGCTCAAGGCGATGAAGGAGATGGCGGCGAAGATCGCAGGTAAGTGACTTGAAGAGGCTGGGGGGCAGGGGAACTGGAGGCTCAGTGACGTGAATCTTTGCAGGTTTTGAAGAGAAGATGTCGAAGATGGAGCAGGTCGCCGACGATCCTCTCCTCTCCTCTCCTCTCCTCTCCTGCCCTCCCCTCCCCTCTCCTCTCCTCTCCTCTCCTCTCCTGCCCTCTCCTCTCCTGCCCTCTCCTCTTACGCTGCTGGGCAGCTGACAGCGAGCGAGGACGAGTTGTACAACACTGCGCAAGACGTGCCGGGGAAGGTGAGGAGGCCGTTCGGTCCTTCTTTCTTGACCCCCCGCTGCAGGTTTCAGAGCTGGAGAAGCAGCTGGAGGGTATGATGACCGGGCAGCACTTGACAAGGTGGAGATGAGAGAGAGGGAAGAGGGAAGGGTTCTCTGAGCCGCTTACAGGGCCGAGCTTGACCTAATGGTGGTCCACTGCTGAGCTAGAGGGGGGATGACAGGTTGAGCTTGCAGATCTCCGAGCTGAAGGAGAAGGAGCAGCAGCTTTCCTCCTCCATCGCCTCCCAGAAGTCCAGCGGGTCCACTCCAGGCCCTGCTGCTCCCCCAGCTGACCGGCAGCGGCAGAAAGAAGACGGACAAGCTGGAAGCAGCGATGGCTGCACTGCAGGCTAAAATTCAAGGTTTGCCGAACACTATCCTCCTCCTCCTCCTCCCCGTCACTCCCTTCGTCCTTCTCCTGGCTCCTTGACATGTTGCAGGACTGAAGGACGCAACTCCAACTGTGAGGAGGCGGAAGGAAGATCGGGAGATCCTCACTCTCCGCAAGCAGGTTGGATGGTAGAGGGGCAGGAGCAGAGGTTGACCCGCTGAGTTTCAGCTGCGAGAGCTCAAAGCGATTGAGGACAGCAAGCAAGTGGTAGGAGGAGACGCTTCCTCGTCGCTCGCTGAACCTGCTGCAGTTGAGCCTGGACGAGATTAAGAAGTTGAATCAGAAGGCAAACATCGTCACTCGCCTCGAACAGCTAGAGGTCTCTCCTCGACTTCCTCCCCTCTCCTCTCTCTGACTTTTCTTTCACGTCGAAGGCCGAGACCAAGGGATGGTTCGATGCTGCGATACCGGAGGCTGATAGGCTCAGGGATCCTCCTCCTGCTTCCAAGGGTCTCCTGCCCCCTCCTGCCCCCTCCTCGACGTGTCTGACGTGCGTTGCAGGCAACGCGAGCTCGGGTGGAGCGAACCGAGGATGGGAGAGCGCGACGAAGAAGACAAGCAGCGGGGGTGAGAGACTGATTAAAGGCCGGGCAAGCTCTCGTCACCGCTCACTGTACTGCAGGTGGAGCAGCAAGGGGCTCCAACGCGTGGGGGCGAGGAGGAGGAGGAGGAGGAGGAGGAGGAGGGAACCCTTGGGCAGCGCTGGGCTAACGGAAGTTGAAAGTTTCTTGAATGAATCATTCATCCCGGACTGGGCAAGAAAACCTCATCTGCTAAATCTGTTTATTCTAATCGACTTTAGCTGGTGGAGTTTCTCTTTTTACTATCTGTGCATAACCCCTACCCCCATATCGACCTTGAGTACCCCCATCGATGATACCACCCCCTGCTCTGCTTCTCTCGGTCTTCACTTCCGGAAATAGCACAGTCAAAGGCGATGGCGCTCGGTAAGAGGAGGAGGAGGAGGAGTAGGAGGAGGCGAGGGGAAGCGAGCAGAGAGCATAACGATGAGCATCATCATCACACGCACCACATGCTGCATGCTTGACATGGTCTTACCGGCTGCGAGCATGCAAAAGAAGAGGGTGATCCTTAAGCTGAGTACAAAGAATGGTGTATGTAGATGGCAGAGAGAAGGAAGGGCAACATGTCGTGGAGTTGGTGATGGTAGATGTTCTGACCGAGGCGGAAAGACAAAAAACGTGCAACCGTGTTGGTTTGGCGAGGAGGGAAACGCTGGGCGAGGGAGCATGTGTAGCAGAACCGGAGTACAAGAGGTGGTGGATGACGGAAGAAGAAGCATGTTGCGATGGAAGAACCATTTTGAGGCATCTAGCTGTAATGATGCAGTAAGGCTCTAGCGTCTGCTCCCAGCTGGTCTCAGCTCAGTCACAGCGGCTGTCCTCGTGATGCTAGTTGGGCGCGCAGGCTCTGACTGGGTTGGCAGGCACAACCATCTGGAACTGCATCTGGATTATCATCCTCTCCATCCCCGGTACGAGGATCATGTCGCCGCACGAGTGTCTGACCCTTCGCAGCCCTCTGGGTCGTCGAGAGCTGCTGGGCTCATCGTCGTTACAGGTTTGATGACGATGCCATTCATGGGTAGTGCGATGAGAAGGAATTGACGTGCGTGGGAGCAGGCAAGCTTTGAAGGAGTCTCCTTCGGAGGGAGGCTACCAGAGTGCTCCCGACCAACCTCAGGTCTGAGGAATGCGTGACGTGCTAAGACCCCCCGACGTTCATCTTCCCTCTCACATTCTTTGTGTATCACCATCCTTATTTCATGGCATCGAGTTCGCTTAGACGAGCTTCACTTGTGTCGTACTTGATAAACTTGAAGTCGCTCGGCCCTTCTCCTCCACCACCTCCAGTCGCTCGGCCCTTCTCCTCCTCCTCCTCTAGTCGCTCGCAGGGTTCGGCATGTCCAACGGACCTTGTTTGTCCAGTGTACGGAGGCCGGCGACACACCTGCGACACATGAGGCAGGAGACAGCAGAAGCTAGGAGATGACCCGCGGCAGTCGCAGCGAAGAATGGCCATGGCACCTGAGTGACGCTGTGAGCGTTGCCTGGTTGGTTGCCTCTCGAACCCCACCCCCTCACTCTCCTCTAACCCTCCACATAACCCCCTGCTCACTCTCCTCCTACCCCTCACTCTCACTCCTCTGCGATTCAATGGTCCACCTGCGTTGAGGCTGAAGGGGATGGTGCGATGAGCGACCAACGTCCACTGGGCGTCTGCTCCTCCGCTCTCCTTCCTCTTCCACCTCTGTGTTGCCAACAGAGTCCCGAAACCTCCGGCTGGCTGCTCGAGGCAGGTCGTCCACGCCTCCAGACTGTCGCGGTCAGCAAGGGGAGGGAAGTCGTAATTCTCACCCATCGTCGGCGACCGTCACGTCCCTGCTGCTGATCTTCATGCCTGGCAAGACGTCAGAAGGGTCCTGGAAGCGAGGGAGGCACCTTGAGGCCTCGAGCCTTCGCGGAGTTGAGAATCCCACCTGAGAGCAAGAGGAGGTGAGGAGACGAAGACAGAGGAGGAGCTGGCAGGGACTGCAACAACGGCTGCCCCACACGCAGCAAGCAGAGGCGAGCACAACTCACGGGTCAAGGCGGCCGCCCAGGTTGACGAACTCAGAGACATCTGAGGGGAGAAGGTGAGGTGGACTAGGACGCAGTCGTCTACCTTCCGACAGCTCCTCTGAGAAGAGAGCTCTCATCTCCTCCAGCTTGCCGTTGGTCAGCGCCTGCTCGCTCGTCACCTCGTTGCCACCCTGAGGGAGACTCACGTCGTAGAACCTCCCCTGAGCTGCTGCCACCGACTCGTCCAACTCGGTGAAGAAGGGAGCGTCTTGCTCCGACAGCTGCCGCCACAGGAGGTCAGGCAAGGAGGGGGGAGGGAGGGGAGGGAGGGGCAAAAGAGACTAGCAACTGTTACCTCTGTGGGAGGCAGCCGGCTACCCAGCAACTCGTCGAAGCGAGGAGCTCCCAGGCCACTCGCGCGTGACCTGCAGGTTGAGGTCAACGGGAGGAAGCGAAAGACGCTGAGGCACCTTCCCTTCTTGTTGAGAGCGAACCACGCTCCTCCTCCTGAGGACGCCTGTGCTGAGTGAGGTCGCACGAACAAGTAGATCAAGGTCGCACGAACAAGTAGATCAAGGAAGAGGAAGAGGAAGAGGAAGAGGAACGGGAGCAGGAAGACGAAGACAGTGACACGTTGAGAACCTTTTTCGCCTCTAGGATGTCACTGAAGTAGGTCACCCACTCCTACCCGGCAATTCAAGTCAGCGAGTCTCCTCTGCCTCCCGTCCCTCTCTGCCTGCTTCTCTGTAGCTTCCCACAGCCATCCTCCTCGCGCGCTCTTGGGCACCTCCCAGTCCTTGCGGCTGCTGCCGTCGCTGCTCGCTGCCACCAGAGCCACCTGGACAAGAGATGAGGGAGGGCAGAGGAGGGCAGGAGCAGCACCTGAGACTGGAGGAGGCGCCTCCGGTAGACAGCAGCTTCTTTGAGGACAGCCTTGAGGGTCTCCGCGTCTCCGTAGACGACGAGGACGCGGAGTTTCTCTCGCAGGTCTCGAAGTTTGAGCGACTTGCGTGAGCCCGTGAGTGGATCCTCGAAGGCGGCGGAGAGGTCAGAGGCCATGCTCTCCCGGTCGAACCTCACGAGCTGCGCGGTGCGTCTGCCCCTCTCACGCAGAAAGAGGAGGAAGGAGGCGACGGAGACGACGAGGCTGGTGGCCTTCTCGGGGTCGGAGAGACTGGAGTCAAGGGCTTCCGCTAGTGCAGACGCAGACGCGGAGAAGACGGTGAGGAGGGCGAAGAGGAGGATGCGAAGAGGCTCCGACTGGTTGAGGGACGCGTAGCGAAGTCTTGCTTCCCGTCGGAACTGCCGGAGGGAGAGCAGGTCCCAATCCCTTCCCCCGATCAGGTCGAACCCCCTCCTGCTTTCTCCCTCCATCCTCCATCCGCAAACGTTTGCTCTCGTTCTCGGCACTGCGAGGTTCGATGCGCGTGCTGTGAAGCTGTGCAAACCAGGACAGCAACTGACATGAGCTCCAGCAGCGGCTGAGGGACACAAAAGGCGCATGACTGCGACGTTTCTCTTCCTCGCTGTCTGTCTGTCTGTCTGTCTGTCCTGTCCTCTTCTCTCTTCTCTCTTCTCTCTTCTCTCTTCTCTTTTCCTTCACTCCCTGATACAGGACAAGGGAAAAAGCACTTTAGATCCCCTACCCCCCACCCCTGTTTTTCATAGGAGATAGCACCCCTTCCCGAGTACCTTTCCATCGCCCCCACCCATCCTGTAAGATTCGTGACAAACTAACCGAGGCAAGGAGAGCAGAGGAGGAGGAGGGGGAAGGGGAGGAGGAGGAGAAGGAAGAAGAAGAGGAAGAGAGGATAGAAGGGGGTATATGAGGAGGGGAATAGGTGAGGGGCCGGGTCCAGGGAAGGAGCAGTGTACATTCCTGTGTGCAATAAATGCAAAGTTTAGTGAAGGAACAGGACGGTGTAGAGAATGAGGAGGGACTAGGCAAGAAGGCAGCATGAGATTCTCATGTTGATGCAGGACAGGCCAAGAAGACATGATACGCCTCAGAGTCGATCTCCCCCTCCTCCTCATGAGCCTCCTCACTCTGCCTCTCTGCAATGCTTTGAGCGAAGGGGAGGCTTGTGGGACCATACCCCGACTTGCAGCCATGGAGGCAGAGAGCAACAAATTTCTCCTCTACATCAATGGCAAGTTCAAGCCGTCTTCAAGCGGAAAGACACTCCAGGTCTCCTCCCTCTCCTTCATCATCGTGAACTCTCACGCCAAGGCCGCTCCTCACTCACTCCCTTCTCGCCGTTTCATCCCCCCCCTCCTCCTCCCGTAACGTCAGGCTTCAGGTTCTGTGCCCAGTGAACGACAGTGCTGTGTACGAAGTGCAGGTAGAGCGTGCATCCTCCTCCTCCGCCTCTTTCACATCTGTTCTTCAGGCCTGTACCAAGGAAGAGATCGACGAGGCTTTCGAGGCTGCCAAAAATGCGCAGAAGTTGTGGAGCAAGACGCCCCTGTAAGAGGAGGAGCAGGGGAAGAGAACAAAAGGAGGGAGAGGGAGGAAGAGGGAGACTAGTGGAGGCCATCGTAGGGAGAGGACGCGATCATCGAGAGAGGGCAGGAGCAGGGGGGTAAGGAGGGAAGAGGAGGAGAGAAGGAGGAGAGCAGTCCTGACAAGCGTACAGGTGGAAGCGAGCAGAGCTGCTCAAGAAAGCCGCGGCTGTCCTGCGAGAGAATGCGGCAGCCATAGCCGAAGTGATGATGTACGAGGTGACTGACATGCGAACATGGAGGGAGAGAAGAGGCGGGGAAGCAGCGGGGTGGTGTGTCTAGGAGGGAGAGGAGGAGCAGGAGCAGGAGCAGGAGCAGGAGCAGGAGCAGGAGCAGGAGCAGGAGCAGGAGCAGGAGCAGGAGCAGGAGCAGGAGCAGGAGCAGGAGCAGGAGCAGGAGCAGGAGTGAAGGTCGCGTGTGACAGGTAGCGAAGCCTCTCAAGGCTGCGATATCGGAGGTCATGCGAACTGCTGATCTCTTCGAGTACACGGCAGAGGAGGTGACATTTCGCTTCCTGTGAGTGTGAGGACTCACCTTGTCCTCCCTCCCTCCTCCTCTCCTTCCTCTTCCCCTCCTCCTCTTCCTGCAGGGAGTCCGCGTGGCTGGTGAGCTCCTGCTGAGCGACGCATTCACGGGAGAGAAGAGGAACAAGTTGGCGCTCGTTCAGCGAGTTCCCCTCGGCGTCATCGTCGCCATCCCCCCCTACAACTACCCGCTCAACCTCGCCGGCAGCAAGGTGCGAGCAGCTGGGCCAGCAGGTGGAGAGCAGCTGAGAAGGAGCAGGTGGGCCCGGCGCTCATGGCAGGCAACAGTGTCGTCATGAAGCCTCCCTCAGCTGGGGCAGTGACGGTGAGCCACTCGCACTCGCCAGCTGAAGTCCAGCAGCTGACTCAAGACGTCAGGGCCTAGTCGGCATCGCTGCCGTGATGCACCTTGCAGGAGCTCCGGCCGGACTTGTGAATGTCGTGACAGGAAGGTAAGGAGAGAGCTGGGAGACAGCTGGGGAAGGGGGAACTCAAACGAGGATGCAGAGGCTCCGAGGTCGGGGACTACCTGACGCAGCATCGGCTGGCGAACGCCGTGAGCTTCACGGGAGGCAGCACGGGAATCCGAGTGGCCAAGGGAGCAGGAATGATCCCCATGCAGCTCGAGCTGGGGGGGAAAGACCCTGCCATCGTCCTGCCTGATGCCAACCTGAAGGCGGTAGGGAGAGGGGAGGGCAGAGAAGGGACGGGGAGAGGCCGAGAGAGGAGAGAAGAGGGAGAGGATGAAGGTGACTCGTTGCTCAGGCCGCTTCGGCTATTGTCAAGGGTGCATTCTCCTACAGCGGACAGCGATGCACAGCAGTGAAGGTTGAGGAGGAGGAGGAGGGAGAGGGGAAGTTGACGTGCGGCAGATCGTCTACATCGTGGAGGAGGAGGACGAGATCTCGCGGGTTCTTCTACCCATGATCCTCGAGCTCGTGAAGAAGCTCAAGGTCGCTCGCTCGTGCTCGCAGGGAGGCTGACGGAGCGGCAGGTTGGAGGCCCCGAGGAGGAGGACGTGGACATCACGGCGGTGATCGACGGCAAGAGCGCGAGCTACATCAAGAGCCTCGTGGACGATGCGCTGGAGTTGGGAGCGAAACTCCAACTCCCTGAGGGAGGGTGGAAGCAGGAAGGTAAGACGATGAGGGGGGGGAGAAAAGTAGAGAGAAATGGCGAGTGGTGGAGGTGGGGTGGATAGACGAGCAGTGAAGAGGAGGAGGAAGCGAGGGAGGGAGGGGAGGGGGGGAAGGGGGCAGCGAGTGATGGTGAGGCAGGCAACTTGATCCATCCTGTCGTGTTGACTGGCGTCAAGAAGAGCATGAGGATCGTCTATGAAGAGCAGTTCGGCCCTGTTCTCCCCATTGTTTCCGTCAAGACGGCGGAGGAGGCTGTAGAGCTGGCCAACGGTCTCGTCGCTTCCCAACCCTCACCACCACCACCACCACCCTCCACTTCCTCCTCCTCCTTTTCTTCCTCCTCCCCAAACCCCCCTTCCCTCTTTCCTCCTTCTGACCTTCCCCCTGCAGGCTCACCGCTCGGTCTGCAAGCATCGCTCTTCACGCAGGTGGAGGGAGGGGGAGCAGCTGCCGGGTGCTGACGTGGCGCCTCTCAGAGCATCGATCAAGCCATCTCGCTCTCTGACGCCCTCCAGGCAGGAACCGTCCAGGCAAGAGGAGGAGGAGCACAGGGAGACGTGGGGCTGACGGGCAGCAGGTGAACGGAGCGCCGGCGAGAGGACCGGACCACTTCCCCTTCCAGGGCTTCAAGGACTCGGGCTTGAGCTCTCAGGTGCGCGTGCTCGCTAGGGCAGGAGGGAGGTGACGAGCCGGCAGGGCGTGCGATGGAGCATCGAGGCCATGACCAAGATCAAAAGCACGGTGCTGAACCTCGCACAGGAATCTTACACTCAGGGGTGAAGAAGCAGAGGTGACAGTTGCAGGGAAGAGTAGATCAGAAACAAACAGAGGTGACAGTTGCAGGAAAGAGTAGATCAGAAACAAACAGATGTATTGATCTCAAAGCTACACACACATTTCGTTTTACTCCATTAGAACGTCACATCGCTTCACCTCTTTCCTCCTCCTCTTCCTCCTCCTCCTTCTCCGCTGCAGTCCTCAGCAGCATACATCTCCTCGTCTCCTCCTCACAATGGGAGTGTTAAGGCTGCTCCCAACACGGCGACGCCGAGACAGACGCTGAGCCCGTCCAAGGCGTCTTCAGCGATGGCCTTCAGGCTCTTCCTGCCGGTCACAAACGCAACGTCCTTGCTCTCCTGCACGCATCACGTCAGTCACGTCAGTGACCAGCAATACAACTTCCTATCCTCACCTTGGGTGCGTTGAAGGAGCGACGGAGGGTCAGGGGAGGAGCAGGTGCAGCTGGCGAAGGGGCACTGGGCTGACTCGAAGCAGGGGCTCCTTCTGATAGTTGGAGGACCAACGCGAGGAGAAGGGCGCAAGAAAAGAAAACAAAAGAAACAGGAAACTTCGACATCAAGACCTCAGCACTTGTTGCTTGTTCGATGATCTAAATTGATGGGGAAACGATGTTATGAATTCAACGATACGACTCTTTCTTCTTTGCTTCCTGTAATAGATTTCTCTCCGTCTTCTTAACAACTTTTTTGAGAGATCTTCTTCTTGCTATGTTTCTTCTTGTTGTTCCCTCTGTCTCTGCTCTTGTTCTTGCTCTTGTTCAAGTCGCTTCTTGTCTCCTCGACTCGTTCGGCTTCAGTTTCTTCACCCTGCACTTTGCAAACTCTTTTACGGCGACTACCCCACCTGCTGCTCATTCACCCCCACCCCCTCATTCAAAACACCTACCCCTGCGTTTTGAAAAATAAGTACCAAGAAATAACCCTACCTTACGAGGACAAGTACAAACCCACCCACCTTGTTTCCAAATGATAACCCACCCTAACTAAACCTCCCGCCCTTTGGGACCATGCGTAGACAACCCCACTACCATGAGTGTACCCAACCCCCCCTTTTCCATCACCCTAAGCTTGGGGGACCCCACCTTTCGAGAACTTTGTGCGGTCTGGTCACTATACCCCACTATAATCCATCAAGTACCCCGGTATAAGAAGGCGTCAAATGGAATATTCGATTTCACACCCCCTCATTTTACAGTACCCTACCTCCATCAAGACAAAGATATTGTCTATCACACCACCCCCTACACTTGTTTACCACCCCACCCCCTTGAATCCGAAATACGACCCGTGTCACATCCCAACTAGAGGAGACGGTGTAGACGAAAAAAGAAAAAAAGAAAAGAAAAAGAAAAAGAAAAAGAAAAAGAAAAAGAAAAAAATCCATGAAGTGTAAAATGTTTTTGTTTGTCACTGGTCGCAATGTCGCTCCTGCTGTTTGTGGGACTAGCAGCAGCAGCAGCAACGGCAGGAGCAGGAGCAGGGAGGGCAGCAGGAGCAGGAGCAGGAGCAGGAAGGGCAGTAGCAACGGTAGAAGCAGCAGCAGCAGGAGTAGCAGCAAGACAGGGACTGGAGCGAGGTCTGTTGGGCTTCTGCTTTCACCCCAAACTTGTGGTTGATAGTTCAAGGAAGCCGGGTAGAAATGTTGTCTGTTCAAAACTGGATCCTGTCTATGCGGACTATCGCAGGAAGCACAAAGATGCTGGTCCAGCCACTCAAGTTCTGCTGGACGTGCGTCCGTATGAGGACTTCAGGTCGTGTCACCACACGCATTCGACTAGCATCCCCGGCAAGGAGCTTGCAGGCAGGCTGTACGAGCTGCCGCCTCCTTACGACGACGACGAGCTCGTTCTCTTCGGACGGGAGGTGAGAGGCATCGCAAGACAAGGTCTCATCTGACGAGGGAAGGGGGCAGGGAGAAGTGGCTGAGGCTCGAGGTCTGCTGACCAGCAAAGGATGGAAGGTTGCTGCTGCCATTTCAAGCGAGGGGACAGAAATAGCCCACGAGCTGAGAGAGGAAGGAGCCTCATCGCGCCCTGTGTGGAGGTAGGGTACACCCTGAGCTTCCATGGATTCACGTTGGTTGTGCAGACCAACGCCGCTGCTGCAAGAGGTCGTCTCCTCGCTCCCCTCAGCTCCTGAAGATCGCTTCAGGTGCTCTCATCCGATCTGGCTGCAGATCTTAGAGGCAACCAACCTCAACAACGGTACAGCAACGTTCCCTTGCTTCTGCTCCTTCAACGCCATCATCCCCTCATCACCTCATCCCCTCATCCCCTCATAGAGGAGTTCTTGCACGCCTGTCTTATGTTCTCATGCCCTTTTCAAGTGCTTGCTCTTACTTCTCCTCCCTCAATCCTTCCCGCCATTCATAGCTGATTTCTGCTCGTTAGTGTTGCCTTCGATGTCGGATGCGGAGCAGGCAGAGATCTTGCGTTCATGGTCTGCTGATTTTGTCGTTGCTCTTGTTGATCCTCAGCAAGGCGTTGACGCTAGGAGGAACTTGGCGAGTGATTGGCTTCGACAATGACGCGGGTCTGTATCGCAGTGCACGCTGAGAGCTTGACAAGAGGTGGAAGGGGCTCTGGAAAGAGCCGAGAGGCTGGCTGAGAGAGAAGACGTAGAGGTGACCACGAGTCGACTTGACTTGCGGAAGGACGGACTTGGCGAGCAGAAAGTGAGAGTTCAAATGCTGATATTCCTTCTCACATCCTTTCCTCCTTCAGGTCGATCTCATCCTCGGCAGTCGCTTCCTTCACCGGCCGCTCTTTCATCAAGTCTTCGAGGGGATGCTCCGCCCTGGCGGCCTGCTGGTGTGGTCTACCTTCCTCCAGGGCAGCAGCCTGGTGAGACCTGGGCGAAGTCTGCGAGCTGGTAGGAGGCGGGGAGAGGAGAGGTGGCACCAACCCCAGCTGCAGGTGAACTGCGCGACCAGTTTGCGGAGGCTGGGTACGAGATCCTGCTGGACAGGTAGGTGGGGAGGGGAAGCCCGCTTGCTGACAGGGAGCAGAGAGGACAAACTCTACACGGGCGGGCAATGGATACCGTCAAACTCTTTCGTGGCTCGCGCGCCGAGGGGTTAAGGAGAGAAGAGAGAGCGAGGGAGTAGAAGACACTCAGCCAGGCAGATGCTTCAATCTCTTCAATTCCTACGAGTTACCATTCGAAGCCTCCAACAACTCATCTGACGCTCACTCTTCAATCGGTTCTTCAGCCGTTTGCGAGAGCATCTCTTCCTCAATCTGCCTCCTCCTCTCGTCCTCCTTAGCTTCATATTCCCTCCTCTTTCGCATTTGCGTTACATATTCAGATCTGAGCTTGTTCATATTCACTTTCCTGGGCCGAGAGAGTAAGAGACGACAAGATGAAGGGGGGGGGGGGTGGGGGGGGGAGCGAGTAGAGAAAGAGAGAGCGCGTCTCACTGGAGCGACTTCATCAGGTGAACGCCGTAGAACTCGCAGGCAATGGCGTTCAACTTGACGGCGTTGCAGATCTCATCGATGTGCGGGTCGTTCCTTCTTCTCGTCAGCTCCTCCTCACTCACTCCATGTCGCTCACCTAATCCAGGCGAGCTCCTGCTTTGGTCCGCGAGTCAGAAAAACGTCTCTGACGTAGGAGTACTCGTGTCCATGGTAGTAAGACCCGCGAATCTTTAGGGCTGTAAGCTCTGAGAGGACGCGGAGGAGCGACAGCCTCGTCGCCGACTCTCCTGTCTCTGTGTCCACCCAGCCTCCGTCCTCCGACAGCTCCACCACGTTCTCAGAAGACGTCACCCACGCTGCATGAGTCGAGTCATTCCCTCGATGTCTCCCGCCGGTCAGGAGTCACCTGGCACGATGTGCTTGTGACCTAAGGAGATGTTGTGCACGGCGCTCTCGAGGATGAGGTCGAAGTCTTCCTGCGCTCCCAGCCCAAGGCTGTTGTACTCGCTGTGACCCAGCGTGAACCCGACGGTGCCGCCGTAAGCCTCGACCTTGTTTCCTGCCAAGCTGCGTGACTGTTCCTCCTTCTCCTTGCTCTCCCTACCTAAGAAGTCGGAAGATGCCGTATAGTACCAGATGGTGTCGTCCTCGTCATTGGAACGGAGCTGACCAAACTCAGAGCTCGAAGGCCAAACCTCTCCTTCCTTGGTAGTGGCGTTCCAGCCTTCCGCATCCCAACGAAAGTATGCGCGAATAATTTCATTATCCTGCTCGTCAAGCTCTTGAGCAAGACAGCACGAAAGAACTTGAAACTAAATGTCAGAGAAAGCCCAAAAGATAGAGAAAGAGGAATGTTAAGAAGAAAACTGGAGAACGGTGAAGAATCATAATGTTGGTCAAGGCAACAAAGCACAACAGCAAATAAGAGAATTTAGTTCAATGCTATGCCGCAAAAGACATGAATTTGCACAATCAAAAGAGAAGATATGAGCAAGGGATACACATGAAGAGAGCAGAGGATCTGAAACAGCAGAAGAAGAACAAGAAAAGGAAGAGAAGGAAGAGCTAGAGACCAAGTACCCTCCCGTGCTCTTCTCTTCCTGCTTCTCCTCTGCTCTCCTCTTCTTCCTTCTCCCTCATCATCCTCCGCTCCTCCTTCACCTCCTGCCTCACCTGCCAGCAGCAGCAGCGGTCGCATGATAACGGATCCGATAACGAATTTGACTAGAGACGTGGTGTATTGACTATTGAAATGTCGATATTGACTACAAGATTTTGACTATAAGGCTTTGTATGTGGTACAATTCATAACGGTGATAACGGTTTGAGGCGGACTCACTTGTCACTCTAAGATGTCAAGAGACAAAAATGTGCTGCTGCTCTCGGAGAGGACGAGGAGGAGAAGCAGCGAGAGGACGAGGAGAAGCAGCGAAAGGACGAGGAGAAGCAGCGAGAGGACGAGGAGAAGCAGCGAGAGGACGAGGAGAAGCAGCGAAAGGACGAGGAGAAGCAGCGATATCCGAGAAAGAAGCTTCGGAGAGACATGAAGAGATTGAAAGGCAGCTGAAGGGAATCAATGGAAAATTACAAAGCGAAGATCAGTGCATTCCGTTTTCGTTCGAGACGTTGATCGAACAAAACAATCAGGCAGGCAGGCACTGCCAGGCAGGCAGGCAGGCAGGAGAAAGAGGAGCGGGGGTTGAAGGTTGACAGCAAGGGATGAGGGAGGAGCAAAGGAGATGAACACAATGTGAGGCTGAGGGATTGACGTGGTGTTGTTCAGGGTCATGAATCATATGATATGATTTAGTCTCAAGAATGAGAGCTGGTTTTTCTTCTATTCCCTCCCTCGCTCCTCTCACCCGGGTTGACAGGCTTTCTCTTGGTCTTGCTCGCTTGTCGCCTCTACGTCTCTCAGGTTCTCAACTTCTTCCCTTCCTCATTTGACGTCTGCAACAGGCTTGGCAAGCTTGGCTTGGAGCCTCCGCCCTGCCTGCTACCTGCGGCACAAACTTAGTCGACAGTCTGAGGTCGCCTGCCTCGCATCCGTGAACCTCAATTTCACCTCCTCCCAACCCCTTTCCCTTTCTATCTCTTTCCTTGCCCTCTCCTTCCCCCTCTGTTGCCCTGCTGCTCCCTACCTGACTCTCCCCAGCCTACCGTCTCCGTCTTCAGCGTGGGATCCCTGCACGGTCGCTCAGGTGTCGGTGCTGAAGCTGAGCTCCGACGTCTGCACGCGAGGGTGAGGGGAGGAGGCTTGAGATGAACCTGACCGACTAGCAGGACATGTACGCTCCCATGTGCTGCTGCTTGGGGATCCTTCCTACGTGACTTCAATGCCACCATCGGCCATCAGGCACTTCCTCCTGACCCCTCCCTCCTCCTGACCGCCCCCCTTCCTCCTGAACCCTCCCTCCTCCCTTCTTCCTGGACCCCTCCGCCTCCTGATGTCCTCCTCGCCTCCTACCATTCTTGCTCTCCTGCTTCTCTCCTCCCTCCCCTCACACTCCTCTTGCAGTGCCTATCGCTCGAAGCAAGCCTCTCCACCGTCCTCGGGCCGTTTGCCTTGACTACTGGTGGGTGAGACGAGCTGAGCGGGCGAATTGTTGACGAGGAAGCAGCTGGGGTTCCAACCGCGGGAGATCTTGAGAGGCTGACGACCGTCTGTCTGAGGTGAGAGAGGAGCAGCACACGGGACCTGATGGAACAGCAGCAGCGACTTTTCCTGTCCCTCCTCACACTGCCGCATCCTCGAGCTGACTCGGAGCTCTGACGGCACCACCTCCTTCATTGACGTGAGCACGAGCTGGCCTCTAGCTGGACCTGACCAACTGCAGTCGATTCGCCTCGCACCTCCCCGTAGCGCCTCCTGCCTTCACTTCTCCGTCCCTGACGGTCCTCGTGGCTGCGTCGCTTCTTTGCTGACAGCCAGCAGGGGGCGCGACCCTTCCCTTCCTGACCTGGAACGCGGTGCTGGAGAGCCAGCGACTCGGTCGACCCTCTCAGCCCCGGCGAGTCTGACGGGCGGGCAGGTCGAGGGTTCACTGGAGGGCTCAAGTCAGGAGCAGACGTGGAGCATGTGACGTGGGCTTGTGTGGTGCCGTCAAATTGTTCGTCCAGTTTGATGTAAGTATGGGGGGGAGAGAAGGGAGAGGAAGAGGAAGAAGGAGCAGGGGAGGGAGAGGAGGGAGAGGGAGGGGAGGAATCATGAGGGAGGGGAGTAGCTGAGATGGAGGGGAACGCAAGATCTTCGCTGATTCTCCTCCAGCAACGACTTGAGCTGTTTCAAGTACAGCTCGATACGGTCTGCTGTTTCGGACTGAAACTTTTCCCTGAAATTTCAATTTTTAGAGGAGAGTTTCATTTTTGGGGCTGGAACTCAGCGCTATCAGTCATCGCGCCTTTGAACGAGGTTTCTCTCTCCTTCTGCTCCCTCAACTCCTCCGGCGCACACACGCTCCTCGTCAAGAACTCTTTCACCGGTGAGCTCCTCCAGTCCCTCCTCTCCTCTCCTCCTCTCCTCCTCTCTCCTCTCCTCCTCTCTCCTCCTCTCTCCTCCTCTCTCCTCCTCTCTCCTCCTCTCCTCTCCTCTCCGCTCTCCTCGCTCCTCGCTCCTCTCCTCTCCTCTCCTCGCTCCTCTCTCCTCCTCCTCTCCTCTCTTCCGCACTCACTTTCTTATGGATATAAGGACAAACGTTGCCACCCTACGAAACGCGAGCAGACGTCTATGACCTCACCCCCTCTCTCCAGCAGGCTGACCCTCTCCTCAACATCTTCCTGTGGGCTTTGGGTGAGCTCCTCCTCCTCCTCCTCCTCCTCCTCCTCGTTCTCCGTCCCTCTTCTCCTCCCCCTCCTCCATCCCTCCTCCCCTTCTTCTTATCCTCCTTCTCATTCGTCATCCCCTGACGAGCTGCAAGACCCGACCGGTTGCAGATCCTTCCAAGCGCGAGGGAACACAGACATTCTCGTTCGCCTGCAGATCTCAGGTCCTTGTCCAACCACCTCACGCCCATCTCTTCTGCTGACTCTCAATCTTCCCGTGTTGCCTTGCTGAGCTGTTTGTTAGGCTTCTATCCCTATTCTCGCACTCACTACACTGGACGCGACGGCAGCTTCATCTTCGCGGGCCTGGTTCCCCTCCAGCAGGTTGCTGTCCCTCCCGCCCCTCAGCGTCGCCCCCTCACAGGCTTGCAGGCACCGACGCTCGTGATCAGTGAGGCAGCTTGCGACCTCCTCCGCCCTCACGCTCCTGCAGCTCTAGAATGGGGCTCAAAGCCCTCCAACCTCGATCTCTTCGTCAGCCTACCAGTCCTTGAGTCAGTCTTCTGCTCCTTCCTTCTGCTCTCCCTCGTCCTCCTCCTCATCACCATCATCATCGTCATCATCATCATCGTCATCATCATCATCATTAGCTTCATCATCATCATTTGCTTCTTCTTCAACTGCTTCTTCTTCAACTGCTTCGTCGTCGTCTTTTTCCCTCTCCTTTTCTTCTCTTACCTTTCCTTGACGATTGAGGGCAGCTCAGACCAGCAGCTCTTCTCTTGCGGTCTGCGAGTCAATGGCAGCACTACCTGGCTCGATCCGGACTCTGAGCTCGCTTGCCGAAGCGCAGGAGGAAGTTGGATTCAGGTTGGGTGACTCCTGCTCCCTCTCCTCCTTCCTCTCTTGCTTTCTCCTCCCAGTTGACTAGCGACAGATGCCCAAAGGCAGCTCGGCCCTCGCGCTCTCCTCCGGTGGCTCTGCTCCTCACATTTTGAAAGTGACGTGGCAACAGAGGACGTGAAGTTGGTCGCCAGCGCGAGCGGGATCATCCGACTTCAGCGCTCCGACGCCTCACCGTTCGGAGTCGGTGAGCTGAGAATTCAGCTGGGCTCAGAGCTGACCAGCAGCAGAGTCTGTGCTGATGCTGCCAGCGCTCCCTCCCGGCGTCTACCGCGTGTACGCGACAGTGCGAGAGGCTGAGGGAACGTTTGCGGTTGAGACGGGACGAGCGACTGTCGCTGCCTACTGGGGAAACGCGACAGAAGCAAAGGAACGAGTGACGGTGAGAGCAAGCAGCGGAGGGAGAGGAGGCGGGGAGGAGGTAACAGAGGCAGCAGGTCAGCAGCCGGACGGTGAACGGACTGAGAGGAAGGTGGTGGCATGCACTCAACGTCATTGCCAAGCAGCAGCAGGCAAGATCCTGCCTGCAGATACAGCGAGTCGATGCGCTGGTAGGAGGAGACGCGTCGGCTCCCTACGCGACCCCTCCAGCGCTTGAGATGCAGGAGGCAAAGGATGTAATGTGCAGCAGCTGAAATATCCCTGTTTCTCTGTTAATCTCACTTGAACCTCTCTCGCCCTTCCCCCCCTCGCTCCTCCTCCTCCTCCTGCCATTCCTCGTACGCTGCCGCCTCCTTCAACGCTTCTGCAAGCTGGCGATTCGCAGCAGAAGAGAAACCCACCTGCTCGGAAGCAGCTGGAAGCTTCACCTGCTTCGCCCTATCTGGCAATGATCGAGAAGCTCCTGCGCGTTGGGGTGATCGCCTAAGTGTCGCTGACAAGGAAGTGGGAGGAGTAGGAGCACGAGCACGAGCACGAGCACGAGTAGGAGAAGGAGAAGGAGGAGTATGAGTAGGAGGAAGCTTTACAGCACTGACGTCTGCTTGTCTTTCGTTGCCTTGTGACGGCTTGCCGTGCTTGGGAAGGGACGGGGGGTTGGGACGTTGAACCCCCATGAACCCGCTGCCTTCCTCTTCGATCTCCTTGAGAAACCGAAAGGTCGTGGGCGTCAGCGTGTGGTTCCCTGCCGTTGATCTCAGCGGCTTGACCTGAGGAGAAGCGCGAGCCGTCCATGGCTTCAAGTAGACGGCAGAGAGCGTGACAGTGAAGCTGCTGCTGGTTGAAAGCACATGAAGAAAGATCAACCAAGCAAGCTTGAACTTTCCTGCAGAGATCGTCTCGAACCCGAAAGACATCTTCTACTATCAGTTGTGCTCTTCTAGCTCGACTCGCTCACTTGTCTTGTTGTCTTCCCTCCGCTTGTTTCGCTCGCGCCATCGCCTTCTCTCTCTCGCCTCCACGCATCGTCGATACTTTTACAGAATTTTTCTTTTTTTTTTCCTTGCAAGCGTAGGAGGCCGAAATGCAGGCGAGGACCTGGATAGCCGTCGCCATGGCTGTGAGAAACACCAGCAACTCCCCCACCCCCAACCAACCCTTCCTGCTCTCCCTCCTTGTCTCCCTCCCTCCTCCTCCCCTCCCTCCTCTCCCACCTCGGCATACAGGAAAAGGCAAGAAAAGCGACGGTCAAAAGAGGGAAGAGGAGACTTTGGGACATCCGGGGGGGTGAGAGAAGGACAAGC